CTTGTGGCCTCAGGCTCAGAGGATTAGGGTATGTGGCCTCAAGGCCATACCATGGAACTGAAGGGACCTCATAACCTACCTGTCTAACCCCTTGCTTTGTAGATGGAGAAACTGAGTCCAAGAGAGGGGTAGGGGTGCCAGCCAGCTGGGGAGTGGGGAGGATTGGAGCAGGGCCAGGCCTGACACACTGCTTTCTTTCTTTCTCCCTCTCTCCCTCCCCTCTCCCTCTTCCTCATCTTCTTCCCCTCTCTCCACAGTTTACTTCAGCACTTAAATCCCTGAGGAGTCTGCCCTGCCTAAAGAAGGGCCTCTCCCCCCACCCTCAGCCGTTCCTCCACCTCTCAGCCATATCTTTCAGCCCCCCTTCCCTGGATCCGTGCGTGTGTGTGTCCGTGTGTGTGTCCCCCTGTAAATAGCCAGCTGTTATTTATACATATATAATATTATATATATTTGGTCTGTTTGTAGTTTTATTACTAGAAGATTTTTCTGGTTGTCCTTAACACCCCTTCCTGAGGTTCCCTTCACCTCCTCTCTCTTGCCTGCCTTCCCTTTCCCTTTCTTCCTGACTAGCCCCAAGTCCCTTCATTTGCATCTGCTATGCAATAGTCCCTCTCCTCTCCTCCTTCTTCCCTCAGATTTAGCTGATCCTTCCCCCCACCCTGGCCTTCCTTTCCTCCTCCCTCTCCCGGTCATGCTCCCTCTGCCCCGCCCTCAAAAAAGACCACAAAAAACAAAAAGCATCTGTCCAGGCTTCCTTAGGTGCATCTTGTTTGCATCCAATGGGAGGCTCTGAGACTGGCCCCACTTGGTCCTAAGAATCCCAAGGTCTTTGGGAGTGTCCAGCATGTTAAGTAGCGTATCATTACATACTGCCATCCCTTTCCATTTCTTTTTGTTCCATCACTCTTCTCTCAACTGGTGTTTCTTTTTTTACTGAGGAGTTAGTCCCCATTAGTCCTTGTATCACATTTTCATTTGCACGACATTACTTGCAGATGGTGGGGAGCCTGGGCTTTTGGGGGACCAGGCTGCTCTGTCCTCCAGCATTGCCTCTTCCTAGCTCTTCTAGTCCAGTTTGCCTCCCTTACCCTCATTTTCCAAACCTCTTGTACCCTCTCCCTCCCCCAGCTGGTATGTAAGTGTCTTGGAGTTCAGTATGTTATGATGGACCAATAATTCTGCCACTTGGGGATTCTCCCCACATTCCTGCTCCCCAGTTTTCATGTGGGGCACTCAACTGACATTCCCATGGGGTTTCCCTCCCATCTGCCTGATCCACCTCCTCCTCCCACTAGGAGAGTTGGGGGTTGGCCACAATTGATCTCTTTTGGGAGGGGTGGCTACCAGTGTGTGGGGGGTCATCACTGCCTTGGGGAGGAGTGGGGCAGGGCAGAGAATCCCCCCAATTCCTGCCTGAAATCTCTGGCCTCACCCCTGCTGGGGGCAGGACTGAAAACCCTCCTCCTCAATTTGGGGGGTGTTGCCCCCATCACTTCCCAGCTCCTCTGACTTCCCCCACCCCCGAATTTAGGGTGGGGTACTAGTCACTGCCAATGTGTGCATGGGACTTGCTGGAATATGGGGATGCTTGCCCCTCTCCAGGGCTATTGAGCCCAGAGAGAGCTGTCTTTTCATTGGGTGAAGTGATTGAGGAAGGGTCTATTGTCTTTTTAAATGGCACAATTTTAAGGGTCTGAGGGTACAGTCCCTTAACCTGCCACGGGAGGGGGCCCCCAAACTTTCTTCCCCCCACACTTGAGGTTTTCTGTGTGGAGGGGGAGCAGGGATATCTAAGCTGTGGTGTGAAAGGGTAGGAGAGATGCTGGGGGCGGGGGTGCTGTGTTCTAGACCCCCCATATTATCCCAGTGTCCCCTGCCCCCCTCTTCCCCCACCCCATGCCCCCAATTCTGTGGCGCATCCAGATTGTGAAAATGTACAATAAATGTGTAATGAGTAACCAAGTGTTGTCTGTTCTAAGATCTTTTTTATTTTTTCTATTTTTTTTTTTTTTTTGGTGCGGGGAGAATAAGATATTTTCTTAACCAATGAGAATATTGGATCGGAAGGTATAGCAGGAAGCTTGAGAAGATACATTGGTAAAGGACTGGATTTGGCAAGAGGCCCTGACCTTGGGCAGGGCAAAATGTGATTCTCAAAATGGCCACACGGGGGCAGTAGGAGTTGGTAATGGGAAGTGTCATAGCCAGTCCCCGTGTCTCTAAGCCCCGTGAGTCCTATGGTCTAGAGTTCCCAGGTTTCGTTTCCCTTTCCTGGGGCATGTTCCTGCTGTTGGACTCCTTTCTACTCGATTTAACTTCTAGATGCTCTGCAGGGGCTCCCGTGCAGCAGTAGATTAAGTCACTGGCCACTTCTGTGAAGCATCTCTTCCCCTCTGTGCCTAATCCAGTGCCAGCGCCCAGATGGGGTTAGTAAATACTGGTTTAAATAGGCTCAGAGAGACACAGCTGAGTATGTCGTGGAGCTGCCGGTAGACGGCCTACTACCTCTGTATTCTGTTTTATGACTCGTGACTTTAGACCCCACACTGAACTGCCACAGCCTGTAGGTCCAGGAGGCCCCAGATGTGGCATCTTAGTATCCCTTTTCCCAGGTGCTTCAACAATGAGTTGCCGGCCACGGTGGCTTAGGCCAGTAATCCCAGCCATTTGGGAGGCCGAGGTAAGGAGTTCAAGACCAGCCTGGCCAACATAGTGAAACCTTGTCTCTACTAAAAATACACACAAAAAATTAGTCAGGCGTGGTGGCGGGCACCTGTAATCCCAGCTACTCAGGAGGTTGAGGCAGAGAACTGCTTGAACCTGAGAGGTGGAGGTTGCAGTGAGCCAACATCACCCCACTGCACTCCAGCCTGGGTGACAGAACAAGACTCTGTCTCAAAAAAAAAAAAAAAAAAAAAAAAACACTTAACACGATGTTGGACAAATGGGAGTATATTTTAGGTAGGACGCGGTGGCTCACGCCTGTAATCCTACCACTTTGGGAGGCTAAGGCAGGCAGATCACTTGAGGTCAGGAGTTTGAGACCAGCCTTGCCAACATGGTGAAATCTCATCTCTACTAAAAATACAAAAAATTAGGCATGCTGGCATGCACCTGTAATCCCAGCTACTTGGAAGGCCGAGGCAGGAGAATCGCCACTGCGTCCGGCCTTTTTTCGTTTGTTTGTTATGAGAGTCCCGCTCTGTTATCCAGGCTGGAGTACAGTGGTGCAATCTTGGCTCACTGCAACCTCTGCCTCCTGGGTTTAAGCAATTCTCTTGCCTCAGCCTCCTGAGTAGCTGAGATTACAGCTACCTACCACCATGCCCGGCTAATTTTCGTGGTTTTTTTTTTTTTTTTTTTTTTTTTTTTTTTAGTAGAGACAGTTTTACCATGTTGGCCAGGTTGGTCTCGAACTCCTGACCTCAAGTGATCCACCCACCTCAGCCTGCCAAAGTGTTGGGGTTACAGGCGTGAGCCACCGTGATTCTTAGGTACACAATCATTACCCGAATGTCCAACTTGATTGAAGTCTTACTATATGCCAGGCAGTGCTCAGGATTTCGCACTTCCAACTTAAATCCCTTCCAGGTTTAAGAGTTCCCATGGGCCCTAGAAGTTAAAACTTGAATTTGGGTTCAAGTTTTAGCCTTGTTACTGACTAGCGTGTTACAGGCAAACAGATTATGTAACCTCACTGGATCTCAGTCTCATTTGTGAGGCGCAGGGAGTGAGAGCTGGCCTCAGGGTTTGGGAGAAGCGCCTGGCCTGGCCCGCAGAAAACAATCAGGAAGGGGCTCTCTCATCTTCATGGTCACCAACACACTGTGCTGAGATCTGAAGACCGCTTCACCCTAATGCTCTGACCTTCCAGCTTCGGGGAGCCTTGGGGACCCAGGGCTGGAACCCCAGCGCCAGAGGCCCCCTCGTCATGCCCGGGTCTCCGTACAAAGTGAGCCTTATACTGTGCCACCGCTCACGTCTGCGCCTGCGTGCAGGTCACGCTCGCTGCGCCTGCGCAGATTTAGCAGCCGTGGTTAAGAGTGTCGTCAAGGAAAATCCCCAGCCTCTGGGTAAACAAGCTGCCGCGTGAGACCGCCGGCACGTGTACCCTACAGCTCCAAGACCTCTCAGCCTATGAGAAAGCTTGGAGAGCAGGACTGGCACTGACGTCACCAATCTTGGCAGGTCGGGGGTTATTTCCTCAGCCAATAAGAACCTCAGAAGTGTGGAGGGCGTGGCTTCCGGTCAGGCTTCCAATCGCCGCGTTGGGGCGGCCCCTCTCGCACGTGTATCTCTCCCGCCCCCGTCGGCCTGCTGACCAATGAGAAGACGATGGCGGCCGGAGGCGCCAATGGAGGCTGTGCGGGGGCCGACGGCTGCACGCGGCACGGGGCATGGGTCGGCGCCCCTAAGCCAATAAGCGTGGGGGGCGTGGCAGCGCGGCCCGTGGGCGGGTTTGGAGGAACCAGCGTAATGCTAGAAGTCCTAGAAGAAATTTGGAGTGTGCGTGCGCGCCGAGCGGTGAGTGCCCGGGGATGGGGAAGAGATGCGGGGCGGTCGATGTGGACTTTTCCGGGGTGGTGTGGCCGTTTGGGAAGGTGTTAAATAGTGTGTGTGTGTGGGATCATGCCAATACGTGATAGCTCCGGTGGGAGCTCTGATGGTTGTGGAGAGTAGGGACCACGAACTCAGGTCTAGAGGGACGGGGTGGGAGTTAGTGACATCAGATCCCTCGCCCCCCTAGAGTCCCTGGACACTTGACTGCCCGGGGGGAAGGGCTCGGAAGCCTTCTGCGACCTGAGGGAGCTCCCTTTCAGGTCGGGACTGAAGGAGCCCCTGCTCCCAGGGAGGTACCGGAACGGGACCCTTGAGAGCTGATGGAGAATGTTTTAGTGGCTGCTGTTTGGGTGGTCGCCTTAAACACTTGAAAGAGGCAGAGGTTCGAAGACGGGAGGGATGCCCTGGTAAGGCAAATCGGAGGGTACCAAAGGGTTGGCATGCTGATATGAGAAAGGATGGTGTGATAATTTGTGAGACCCAGAGCCAGTCACATTACGGCTCCGGGTGTCTTTCTCATGTTAAACGGAAGGGTTTAGGCCTCAGAGTCGTCCTTGAGAATAGATGTGGGGTAGCAACTATTGAGTTCTGAGACGAGTGATGGGGTTGGGATTTGTGCAGATTGGCTGTGCACGTCCTTCTGAGCCGCTGGAGGTGGGGAGGCACCAACAAGGTGTTTTGATATCTGTCTGTACAAACAACCAGGCCAGGCGTCTGGTAAAGTTGGCCTGACATAAGGTAGAAAAGTGAGAAAGTGGGCTTCGTAGGAAATCATTGGGGCTGGTAGCTGCTAGGGTGGTCTCAAGCACTTTGTGAGCCTGGGAAAATGGGCTATGATGTTAAGTGTGTGGGGAGTGCAAACAGTGTCTTGGGATCAGGCCTAAGGCAGAGAAAGGGGTTGGATGCAGTCTGTGTTCCTGGCACCAAACTTAGAATTGGCTGGGTATTTGAGAGGCCAGGTTTGCCAGTGCTGGAATGCAGCTTACAGGTTGGTTAACACCTCACAGGTTCCTGAAGGGTAAGAAACCAGAATGACAAGCCATTATTAGAGTTCAGATTTTTGAATCCTGGGCTCCATTTGTTAAGAGCTTGAGACCATGTTATGAGGCACTGGACAAGTTTAGTAACTTCTGTGCCTTAGTTATCCCCCCGAGAATGGGGGTAATAATACCTATCTCACGGGGTTGTTCTGGGGATGAAATAATGTAAAGTGCTTATCATAATGCCTGGGTCATGGTGAGAGATTTATGTGCCTGCTGTGGCTGGGGACTAGTCTCACATTCTCAAGTTTTTCTGCAAGTTTTGATGGCGTCCCATTTCTCTCTTCCTGGCTCTTCTGGTCTTCAGGCAGCAGTCCAAATTCCCTCATTCCTCCCTTCTAGCCCTCTCCCAGGATCCAGGCCCCAGATTGGGCCACTTGCTCTGTCCCAGTTTGATTTTCTCATCCTAGGCCCCTTCTCCTCCCTGTCCTCCCCGCCTCCCGCGCCCACCCCCACTGCCATAATAACAAGAGATTCAGGCTCTGAAGGAGGGCTTCTGGAAGGGAGAAAAAGGTGCGTGTTTTCTCCCAGAGTCTGGGCCTCCAACTTCTCCGCCCTGGGTCTTTGGTACCAGGCCAGCAGATGTGTACAGTTTGGGAGAGAGGAAAAGCCAGAGCTGAGGGAACAAGCTGAGGAGCGGGCAGATGGGAGTCCTGAAAAGAGAGCCAGGCGTGGTGGCGAGGAGGTGTGGGGAGGGGGCCCCCTTCCTCCTAATCCTCTCTCCAGGAATCCCTGGCTTTGGGACAGGACGGCTGTCGTTTGGTTGGGGGAGGCGCCCAGGCCGGGTGCATGTCCTGGGCCACCAGCCAAGAGAACATGATGTTCCCAAGTGCGCTGGCCGCCGCCCTCTCGGGCTGGCCGCCTCCCAAACCGCTGCCTCTCCAGGCTCTCCAGCCTCCCTGCCCCACATTCCCCGGCAGCCTCGCCCCGCCCCCTTCTTCCGCTTTGACGTCACCGCTGTCTCCCGCCCCCTCGCCTCCATTGACGGCAGCAGGGCCTGGTTACTGTGGGGACGGTGAAGCAGGACAACAAGAGCCTTGGGAGCAAGCGGGGGCTGCTGGAGGGCTGGAGCCTTTTGTGTATGCAAAAGACAGATAGGGAGATGGAGGCGGGAGAGCAAGGACTGCCTAGGTCAGGGGGGATCACACCTAAATCCCCGAGGGGGGAGAAAAACTGTGTTTTCAGGGAAGAGGTGTCTGCAAATGAGACAAGACCAAGGCCACAGTATGAGTTGGGGTGGGGAGGATCATTTTCAGGGAGAGGAGACTGAGAATCCAGCCTCCTGAATCTTTTTTTTTTTTTTTTTAGTAGAGAGAGGGTTTCTCCATGTTGGTCAGGCTGGTCTCGAATTCCCGAACTCAGGTGATCTGCCTGCCTCCCAAAGTGCTGGGATTACAGGCGTGAGCCACCACGCCCGGCCTCCAGGCTCCTGAATCTTTGTTTTCCTGTTTCGATTTTTCTGGGTTAATTTATAACACACTCTTGTCCCAGCTTTTCCACAGAGCCCTCCCCTTCACCCTCCCCTCATTGTTCAGGAAAGTTTAGGCCACGTGACAGTGAGGGGCGTGCCCCCACAATGATTATGTCAGCAGCTGCTTGGAGGCCTGTTCATCTACTACCCACGTTTCCAGGGAGCCCTGCGAGGAACTACTCATCACGGTCCTGGATCGAGGGGGCTGTGTAATTGCAGTTCTCCTGGGACCAGACTAACATTTTATTGCTTGCAAATCGTTCCCCTGTTTTCTTTCTAGGACTACTCCCCTCTTTAAAAGAATTAGAATTCCCAGCCCCCTTTCTCCTGTTTACACTCTTTCTCCACCTCCCCAACCTATCCTTGTTTAAAAAAAAAAAAAAAAAAAATCATGTTACCGTATTTATCGATCACTTGCCATGTGTCAGGTCCTGGCCTGGGCTCTGGAGAGTACAGTGAATGAGACAGATGACGTTCCGGCTGGGCCCCTGGAGTTTGGCTTTCTCTTTTCCAAGCAGTGGAAATATGAAGCCCTTGCCACCCCACCTTTCTCTGTCTAGGGCCCCAGCTAGCCTCTTCTCTCTGCCATCCCCTTGGTCCCTCTGTAGTCCTGGCTTCCTGGCCCCCACTTTTGGGGCAGCCTTAATTGTGGGTGGCTGTGTTCTCTGGAGGGAAGTACTAGACACCACGTAGGCTGCCCAGAGACCTTTTCTCTGAGTGGCCATAGAAGCACCTGCCATTGTTTCTCTTCACAGCCACTATTGGCTCTGGTCGCTCCTTCCATTGTCCGCATCTTTCCTCCACCCACTCACCCACCAATCACACGTGGGCCCTTAACTGTCCTCTCCCAGGATTTGAAGTGTCAGAGGAAGTGCTTCGGTTAAAGGGCTTCATTATGTAGAACGAAGGTTGGGAAGGAACAAGGTTGGGACAGGAACCCAGGAGAGGCCCAGCCAGGTTTCTGTCTGTCCCCTCCTCTCAAGGACCACCCATCTCATCCAGCGTGGCCTAACTCCCAGCGCCATTCCTTTTCCCCACCACTGGAAGGGCGAAGATGCCAAGATGTTGTGTTCTGCAAGGCTAGTGCGTTCAGGAAATAGGCAAGTCTTGAGCACCTACTCTGGCCCGGGTTTTTTCCCTAAAGAGGCGCAGCGTACCTCCCTCTCTCCTCCCTTCCATTATTCACTGTGCAAGCGTCCTGCGCCCATTGGCTGGGCGGTGTCTGAGGCTCTTCAGCCCAGCACCAGCACCCAGGTCCACGTGCGCCCGTGTGTGTGACACAGCCCTGACCTTAGTGGAGGCCACTAGCCAATCAGGCGCCGGGAAGAGATCCCCAGCCAATCGGGGGCGGGGCCTGCGGCTCTGTCGGCAAGAGGCCAATGAGGGGGCAGTGCCCGGCATTATGCAACCCGCCTCCCCGCCCGGTGGAGCTTCCACTCGGCTGCAGGCTGGAGCAGCGGCGGGCAGGCGGGCCGAGGACACTCCCGCGACCAGGTAGGCATCTCTGCGGCCATCCTGGGGCCGATCTCCGTCCCTGAGCCGGACCGCTGCCACTTCCAATCTGATGGGCTACTTTTGGCCCAGCCAGTCAGAGGGCACACTGTCGTCCTTACCGCTACCCACCCTCTCCCCGCCCCCGGGGACCGAAGTGCTCCTCGAAATCTTGCACCGGGAGTCTGCACTCCTGACCCACTCACCTTACCTCCAGCTTGTCCCCACCTCCCCGTCCCATCTTGCCTGGCCCCACAGCCGACTCAGCGGGCATGCCCTGGTCTTCTTGCTCGTTACTCGAGGGGCCCCAGGTTTGCCCCCGTACCAGGACCCCATTAGGCTTTCGGCGCTCCCCGTGTCTCTGCTCTCCAGTCCCTGGCCCTGCGCCGCCTGTGATGTCAGCCCACTTCGGACTGGAACATCCCGTTCCCAGCGCTAGTTCCTGCTGTTGGCCACAACCTTCCCTTTTCGCCTGGCGCTGAGAAAATGCTCAGTAGTGGGGGTGTGGTTAGACGGGGAATAGGGGAAGAACGATCTGTTGGTGTTGTGCCTCTTCTGCCCAAGACTTGGGGTGGGGGTCTGGCCAGAAAAGTAGGGGACTCTTTTTTGAGAGGATCCTCGGGTCCTTGACGATGGCAGTTTGCCGGCTTCGGTCCTCGCGGTGGGGAAGCAGCGCAGGGGCTAAAGAAGGAAAGGCTGTGTTGAGCAGAATGATTGGGATCCAGGCGAGAGTCAGGTTGAGGGGCTTTTGCGCGGAGGGCGGTGGCCGTCGTGTTTCGTCCTAGGGAAGCCAGGACAACCCTGGAATCCTAATAGGCCGTCCCACTTCGTGCGGCCACTGAGCCATCCTGGGACTGGAGATATGTAAAGGATGCGTGACCCCCGGCCGCACCCACCAGTGTGAGAGTGGGCCGTTCCCCCACTTCCGCCGGGAAATGGGGGAGGGGTCGCTCCTTCTGCCCTCCTGTGGTCCCTCCAGCAACCGCTGAGCTCAGCAGCTGACGTCGGTTTCCCTGGCGACTGTGGCGGCGGCGGAAGCGCGTGGTGGGGCCGCGCACGTCGGCGCGCATGTGCAGCGGGGGTGGCACCGCCCCCGGATAAAATTAGCCTGGAGGCCTAAATATAGGAGGCGACCAGCTCACCCCCTGCTCCGAGGCCTTGGAGGCCCAGGCAGAGTGGAGACCTAATGGGAACTGGGGAATGGGAAGTGTCCAGGTTTTTGCCGACAGCCGTAGTTATCGACTGCTCAGGCCAGGGTGGCAGAGGATGTGAAGGAAGGCTCCGGAGAACTTTCTCCCACTTGCAGCCCCCCTAAGGGTACAGGAAACATCCTGACTCCCCATTGGAAGCCCCAGGCCTGGGTCCCACTCCCATCAGTCCCGCATGAGGCCAGGCAGGGGAAAGTCTGAGTGAAGCCAGCAGGTGCTCTGGAGTTAACAAACCAGCTTTCTGCAAACTCTACTTCCTGGTTTCCCTCTCCAGGTACTGGCTGTGCTCGAACTTGTCAACCCTCAGAGACTTAAATCTTCCACCTCACTCCCTCAGCCAGGCCTCCAGGCCCCCCCGTGCATCCGTGGTGGCATCTTCGCCTTCTCTGTTCTGTTCTCCCCATGGCCCAGACATGAGTGGCCCCCTAGAAGGGGCTGATGGGGGAGGGGACCCCAGGCCTGGGGAATCATTTTGTCCTGGGGGGGTCCCATCCCCTGGGCCCCCACAGCACCGGCCTTGCCCAGGCCCCAGCCTGGCCGATGACACCGATGCCAACAGCAATGGTTCAAGTGGCAATGAGTCCAACGGGCATGAGTCCAGGGGCGCATCTCAGCGGAGCTCACACAGCTCCTCCTCAGGCAATGGCAAGGACTCAGCCCTGCTGGAGACCACTGAGAGCAGCAAGAGGTGCGTATGGATGTGTATGTTGGCTCTAGGAGTGGTCTTGTGAGCAGGCAGAGCTGGGTGACAGGCCTCACACTGCTGGCCCTACCTGTAACTGGGCCTGTTGCTGTCTCCTAGCACAAACTCTCAGAGCCCATCCCCACCTAGCAGTTCCATTGCCTACAGCCTCCTGAGTGCCAGCTCAGAGCAGGACAACCCGTCCACCAGTGGCTGCAGGTACGTCGAGTGAGGCTGGAGGAGAGGTCTGGGGGCCCAGGCCACACTCTGGGACTAATGTCTTTATTTCCTTCTCTGTGGGCCCCGCAGCAGTGAACAGTCAGCCCGGGCGAGGACCCAGAAGGAACTCATGACAGCACTTCGAGAGCTCAAGCTTCGACTGCCACCAGAGCGCCGGGGCAAGGGCCGCTCTGGGACCCTGGCCACGCTGCAGTACGCGCTGGCCTGTGTCAAGCAAGTGCAGGGTAAGTGGTATGTCCCAAGAGGGAATGGCCAGGACCTGGGCTCCTGTGTTGAGGCAGCCTCCTTACTGAATGCCTCACTGCCTCCACCCTGCAGCCAACCAGGAATACTACCAGCAGTGGAGCCTGGAGGAGGGCGAGCCTTGCTCCATGGACATGTCCACCTATACCCTGGAGGAGCTGGAGCACATCACGTCTGAGTACACGCTTCGTAACCAGGTCAGCGGCCGCCTGGCCTCTCCATCCCGATGCACCCCTACCCCTTCTCCCTCAGCTCTTCAATCTGCTGTTGCTCTCCCCTTCCTGCCAGGATACCTTCTCAGTGGCTGTCTCCTTCCTGACGGGCCGAATCGTCTACATTTCGGAGCAGGCAGCTGTCCTGCTGCGATGCAAGCGGGACGTGTTCCGGGGTACCCGCTTCTCCGAGCTCCTGGCTCCCCAGGATGTGGGAGTCTTCTATGGTTCCACTGCTCCATCTCGCCTGCCCACCTGGGGCACAGGGGCCTCAGCAGGTAAGGTGCCCAAGCACTGTGAGGAGGCATGAGCAGTCCCAGGAAGTTCCTGCTGTGAGGGGCCAGGGGACCCAGACTTTCCCTTAGTAGGTTCTTCGCAGCCTAGGGAAGGGGCGGGAGGCTGTGCTCACTCCTCTCCTGTCTGTCTCAGGTTCAGGCCTCAGGGACTTTACCCAGGAGAAGTCTGTCTTCTGCCGTATCAGGTAGGTGAGGGGAGGTGGAGAAGACCTCTGCCTCCTCTTTTTTTGTTTTTTGTTTTTTGTTTTTTGAAAGGGAGTCTCATTCTGTCGCCTAGGCTGGAGTGCAGTGGCATGATCTCAGCTCACTGCAACCTCTGCCTCCCAGGTTCAAGCGATTCTCCTGCCTCAGCCTCCCAAGTAGCTAGGATTACAGGCGCCGCCACGCCCAGCTAATTTTTGTATTTTTAGTAGAGATGGGGTTTCACCATGTTGGCCAGGCTGGTCTTGAACTCCTGACCTCAGGTGATCCGCCGCCTTGGCCTCTCAAAGTGCTGGGATTAAAGGCGCGAGCCACTGTGCCCGGCCTACCTCTGCCTGTTTCTGCCCCCTCCTCAGGGTCTTTGCTGTTGTGTGCTGTGATCTTGTGGTTGGGTTGAAAGTCCCTAATGCTCCTCTCTGCTTTGCTAGAGGAGGTCCTGACCGGGATCCAGGGCCTCGGTACCAGCCATTCCGCCTAACCCCGTATGTGACCAAGATCCGGGTCTCAGATGGGGCCCCTGCGCAGCCGTGCTGCCTGCTGATTGCAGAGCGCATCCACTCGGGTTACGAAGGTGAGCAGGTCTGGGCCCTGGCCTGGTGGGGGCTGGGAGGAAGGACATTTCCTCATGGTCAGGCATGAATTTGGGAGGCTTAGCCAGACCCTTTGAATTTTGGAACAAGAAAAGCTTTTGTAAAGATGAGGATTTGAGCTCCTTTTAGAGGTAGAGTTGAGTATCACTGAGCTAGAGGAGGGCAGAGAAGAGTGCCTTGCTTGCTCTCAGTCGTGGTACTGGTACAGGGCATAGGATTGGCCCAGACCATCTTTGGGCCCATAGTGCCCAGGGCACAGCTGTGTGGCAAATCGTCAGCCAGCCTGGGCCCAGGCAGAGTGGAGGGCTGAGGAGTTGGGCATTCTGGACGAAACCCAGTGACCACACTGTCTGTGCCTCAGCTCCCCGGATACCCCCTGACAAGAGGATTTTCACTACACGGCACACGCCCAGCTGCCTCTTCCAGGATGTGGATGAAAGGTGAGGATAGGACCTAGAGGAGAGGAGGGCAGCCAGGGCTGAGGCCACGGCCACTCTGATGCCTCCTTCTCATTCAGGGCTGCCCCCCTGCTGGGCTACCTGCCCCAGGACCTCCTGGGGGCCCCAGTGCTCCTGTTCCTGCACCCTGAGGACCGACCCCTCATGCTGGCTATCCACAAGAAGAGTGAGTTCCTCTTGCCCTGCTCACCCTTCCCACTGTCCCGGGCTTTTGAATGGCTGCCCTTCAGGTTGGGTCTCTTGGTGCCTTGGTCTCCTGGATCTCCAGTGCCATGGCCTCCCCATTACTCAGCTCTCCCTCCCTTTGACCCCTCCTCCTTTCCCACTTCCATCAGTCCTGCAGTTGGCGGGCCAGCCCTTTGACCACTCCCCCATCCGCTTCTGTGCCCGCAACGGGGAGTATGTCACCATGGACACCAGTTGGGCTGGCTTTGTGCATCCCTGGAGCCGCAAGGTAGCCTTCGTGTTGGGCCGCCACAAAGTACGCACGTAAGTGGGGGCCATGTCCCCGAGCTGGCGTTGGGGATAGGGCAGTGTGGTGGGGGACAGGACTGGGCCAGGCTGGACTCACTCTTCTCCACCCTACAGGGCCCCGCTGAATGAGGATGTGTTCACTCCCCCGGCCCCCAGCCCAGCTCCGACCCTGGACACTGATATCCAGGAGCTGTCAGAGCAGATCCACCGGCTGCTGCTACAGGTGAGAGTAGTGGAGAGGGAGCGTGGGAGGTGAAGAAGGGGGTGGGAAGTAGGATCAAGCCATCTAACCTGCCCTCTCCCCGCTGCAGCCTGTGCACAGCCCCAGCCCCACAGGACTCTGTGGAGTCGGCCCCGTGACATCTCCAGGCCCTCTCCACAGCCCCGGCTCCTCCAGTGATAGCAACGGGGGTGATGCAGAGGGGCCTGGGCCTCCTGCGCCAGTGAGTGACCTGCTCCCACCGTGTTCTCTAATCGCCCTTTCCCCTCTCCTCCTCGGAACCAGCACTGCCAGTCCCAGAGTCTTGCCCGATCCCCCTTTGCCCTCTCCTTCCTGCCGTTTCCTTCTTACCCTGCTCTCATCAAGGCGTCTGTGCCTCCCCACTGGTACTTTCTTGTTTTATTGTGCCCTGGGCCCCTGACACTGGCCACACCCCCTGCTGCTGCTCACTGTGGTGCTGTCCTGCAGGTGACTTTCCAGCAGATCTGTAAGGATGTGCATCTGGTGAAGCACCAGGGCCAGCAGCTTTTTATTGAGTCTCGGGCCCGGCCTCAGCCCCGGCCTCGCCTCCCTGGTGAGTTGGTGACAATGTATGGGTGAGGAGACAGACCTGGGGGGGTCCCCTGATCTTCACCGCCAACCTATTTGCTGTTTTTTTCCATGTGAGCTTGAGAAGACTATTTTCCTCTTTCTCTCTTTGCCCCAGCTACAGGCACATTCAAGGCCAGGGCCCTTCCCTGCCAATCCCCAGACCCAGAGCTGGAGACGGGTTCTGCTCCCATCCCGGCCCCACTAGCCTTGGCCCCTGAGGAGGCCGAGAGGAAAGAAGCCTCCAGCTGCTCCTACCAACAGATCAACTGCCTGGACAGCATCCTCAGGTAAGGCCTGCAGGCGTCTTCTCCACCTCGGGCTCTAGCCCTGCCCACCCCAAGCCCTTCTTTGATGCCCTCTGCTGTGTCCATCACCAGGTATCTGGAGAGCTGCAACCTCCCCAGCACCACTAAGCGTAAATGTGCCTCCTCCTCCTCTTACACCACCTCCTCAGCCTCTGACGATGACAAGCAGAGGACTGGTCCAGTCCCTGTGGGGACCAAGAAAGGTAAAGACCCAGTGCACCCTGCTCCCACTGCCCCATCCTGGCCTGGTGGCCCTGTGTCTTTTCCCTTCTGCTGCTGGGCCCTCTTGCTGTGCCCTGCCGTCCTCCCCAGCCTCCTGGTCTCCAGACTGTTCCCTACCACCATCCCCTTCCCCTTTTCCCTGGGATCCTCTCCCCTGACTTCCCAGTGGGGGTGGGGATGGTAACTGGCACCATCTCTCTGCACAGATCCGCCGTCAGCAGTGCTGTCTGGGGAGGGGGCCACCCCCCGGAAGGAGCCAGTGGTGGGAGGCACCTTGAGCCCGCTCGCCCTGGCCAATAAGGCGGAGAGCGTGGTGTCCGTCACCAGTCAGTGTAGCTTCAGCTCCACCATCGTCCATGTGGGAGACAAGAAGCCCCCGGAGTCGGGTATGGGCGTGGAGCTGGGGGGCAGTGCTTGGGCTCTACCAGTCTCCCAGCTAGAGCTCCCTCCTGCCTTTCCCCTCCCTTCCAGCCCAATGGAGAGAAGGAGGCCTCCCTTGACGTGGGGCTTGGGGCTACCGCTTCTTGCTCTCCCGTCCCTGCCAGGCTTCTCAACTTTGCCCTTCCCCTGTTCTGCTTCTCGTATTGTTACTGTCAGTTGAAACACACAGTCTGGGGTAGGGGGTTTGCCCTGAGGTGCTGACCACAGAGGGTCTGAAGGCGAGGAAAATTGAAGCTCCCTGAAGGGTCTTTGGATATGGACCTTGAAAATGTGTGAAGGGCTGGGCGTGGTGGCTCAGGCCTGTAATCCCAGCACTTTGGGAGGCTGAGGTAGGAAGATCACCTGAGATCAGGAGCTCGAGATCAGCCTGGGCATCATGGTGAAACTCTGTCTCTACTAAAAATGCAAAACTTAGCCAGGCGTGGTGGCACGCGCCTATAGTCCCAGCTACTTGGGAGGCTGAGGCAGGAGAATGGCTTGAATCCAGGAGGTGGTGGTTGCAGTGAACCGCGATCGTGTCCCTGCACTCCAGCCTGGGAGAAAGAGCGAGACTCTGTCTCAAAAAAAAAGGAGAGAAACAGAATGTGTGAGGGAAAGGCAAGGGGTGGGCTTCTCTTCCAACGAGAGTTGTGAGGGGGTCATCCCAGTAGAGTTCCTGGAGGGGAGTGGCCACTGGAGGGACCTGAGTATCTATCGTCTCCTCTTCTGGGCCAGCTTTGCATGGAGGAGAGGACCCAGGGCCAGCCCTTGGCAGAGAGGTGACCAAGAAATGTACATGGGGACCAGGCTCGGCTGTGGGGCAGAGCCACCAGGGGTTGGCTAGGCTATCGGACAGGGAGGGTGTGGTATGGATTTGTTGACCCCTGAGGTGATTCTGATGACCTTTCTGTATCTCACCTTCCTCAGACATCATCATGATGGAGGACCTGCCTGGCCTAGCCCCCGGCCCAGCCCCCAGCCCAGCCCCCAGCCCCACAGTAGCCCCTGACCCAGCCCCAGATGCCTACCGTCCAGTAGGGCTGACCAAGGCCGTGCTGTCCCTGCACACACAGAAGGAAGAGCAAGCCTTCCTCAGCCGCTTCCGAGACCTGGGCAGGCTGCGTGGACTCGACAGCTCTTCCACAGCGCCCTCAGCCCTTGGCGAGCGAGGTAGCCACCTGGGGCCTGCCGGAGCCTGCCCTTTGCCCAGTCTAGGACTGGACTGTCGGGGGGTGGATCTTAAGGGAGGTGTTTCTGCTCCAGGGACCCAGGCTGGTGGTGGTTCCACCACCAGGCCTGCCTAGGGACAGGTCCCTCGCTAGCTTCTCCCCACTAGGCCGGGGTTCTGGGCTGCAGCCAGAGGAGGGCAGCCTGGGGGGATGGCACTGGGACGGGCAGGCGGAAGTGCTGTGCTCCAGGTAGGCGACTTCAGGCCTAGCCTGGGGGCGGGGGCAGGGGCAGGAAGTGTGCCCACTTAGGAGTCAGTTGTCACTGATGAAGAGACATGCATAGACTCTGGGCCAACTCTGGGTGGGGTCTGGGCTTCAAGGGCAGGTGGAAGGCAGCCCCTCCAGGTGCCTGAGGGAGACCCCCTGCAGGCAGACGCAGGACTCAGGACTGGGCTTTCCAGCCCCCCTCTTCACTCCATCGCAAGCTAGGCAGAACACGGCCTCGATGGGCAGGAGGAACGCCTATGCTGGCAGCGCCCGCAGGAGTTTGGCGGAGGGACCAGAGCCACCTGTCCATGTGTCCATGGACGCACCCTGCCTCCTCCATCTGCCAGCGTGCCTCCATCTTCCGCACACCCCCAGCTCGACCCCTCTTGTAACCTCTCCCTGGCCTTGTTCCTTTCTCAATAAATCCCCTTGTCCCTGGCTCCTGTGATTCTTCCCTGAAGGTGCCCCACCTCCTGAGCCCCCCATTCTGTGTGGGTTGAGAAGCTCTCTGGAGCCTTGGCCTGCCCTCTCCCTGGTCAGAGTGTCACGGCAGTGTGGGTAGCAGGGGCACTAACCCCAGGTTGAGGCCCTCGCTAACCCTAGTCTTTTCCCACAGGCTGCCACCACGGCCCCGCACCCCCAAGCCGCCGACACCACTGCCGATCCAAAGCCAAGCGCTCACGCCACCACCAGAGCCCTCGGGCTGAAGCGCCCTGCTACGTCTCACACCCCTCACCTGTGCCACCCTCCACCCCCTGGCCTGCCCCACCAGCCACTACCCCCTTCCCAGCAGTTGTCCAGCCCTACCCTCTCCCAGTGTTCTCCCCTCGAGGAGGCCCCCAGCCTCTTCCCCCTGCTCCCACATCTGTGCCCCCGGCTGCTTTCCCCACCCCTCTGGTGACCCCCATGGTGGCCTTGGTGCTCCCTAACTATCTGTTCCCAACCCCATCCAGCTATCCTTACGGGGCACCCCAGACCCCTGCTGAAGGGCCTCCCACTCCTGCCTCGTACTCCCCTTCTCCATCCTTGCCCGCCCTCCCCCCAAGCCCTCCTCGCCGCCCGGACTCTCCACTGTTCAACTCAAGATGCAGCTCTCCACTCCAGCTTAATCTGCTGCAGCTTGAGGAGCTCCCCCGTGCTGAGGGGGCTGCTGGTGCAGGGGGCCCTGGGAGCAGTGCTGGGCCCCCACCTCCCAGTGAGGAGGCTGCTGAGCCAGAGGCCAGACTGGTGAGCACTGATCCCTGCGTCTGCCCGCCAGTCCCCACCCCAGCCCCGCCCCTTTGCCACCTTATGCTGCTTGCTGCCTCTGCCAGGCCAGTGTCTCAGCCTCCAGGAGGTGGAGGGAGACCCCAGCTGAATTTCTGAATGAGGCAGAAATTGGCTAACTCCTCATTGAAGGGACAGTCCTGTCTGTCTGACAGGTAGTGAGGACATCTCAATAACTTCTGAGGGAGTATCTGCCACTTGGAAAGGGTCTGGCCTCACATCCCCACTCTTCGCCAGCTTTCTTCTCTCTCAGCCTGGCCCTACTGTCACGAAGTGGGGAGCAGAGACCACTGGGGTTGGATGTGCCTCTGCCCACAACCAGTGAGAGCAGTTGAAGGAAGCGTAGGTGCTGACCCCTTCATCCCTCCTTGCCCCCCTCCCCTCCTCCAGGTGGAGGTCACTGAGTCCTCCAATCAGGACGCACTTTCTGGCTCCAGCGACCTGCTGGAACTGCTGCTGCAAGAGGACTCGCGCTCCGGCACAGGCTCCGCAGCCTCGGGCTCCTTGGGCTCTGGCTTGGGCTCTGGGTCTGGTTCAGGCTCCCATGAGGGGGGCAGCACCTCAGCCAGCATCACTCGTGAGTGCCCCACCTCCAACACCTCCCAGGGTCGGGCAGTGACTGGGGAGCTGGGAGCCCAGGCCCCATCTTGGCAGAGCTCCCTAAGGCCATTGGGATGGACATGTGGCCTTTTGAGGGAGGCCTTGTGAGGCCCCCGGAGTGGGCATGCAGCCAGCCTGACTCCACTGGTCTGCCCCCCCACTTCTCAGGCAGCAGCCAGAGCAGCCACACAAGCAAATACTTTGGCAGCATCGACTCTTCCGAGGCTGAGGCTGGGGCTGCTCGGGGCGGGGCTGAGCCGGGGGACCAGGTGATTAAGTACGTGCTCCAGGATCCCATTTGGCTGCTCATGGCCAATGCTGACCAGCGCGTCATGATGACTTACCAGGTACCCTCCAGGTGAGGCATTTCAGAGGCCGCCTTGGCCTTCCTTTCAGAGGTAGTAGGGGAGCAGTTTTCTTTTCTGTTACTAGCTCTGTCCTGGATAGGATAGATGGTTCCTATCCTCCCTGCCCCTTGGATCTCTGTTACTAGTTCCTCCCAGGAGGAGAGCGGGTTTCCTGGTCTTGGGAGCCTTGACCCCCCATAGCCCTGATTTAGGGGAGGAGCATGAGGCGGGGAGTTGTGGTAGAGGAAGGATGCCAGCTTCACAGGTCCTCGTCCGGGTCCTGGATCCCAGCCTCTGCCTTCTGAACCCCTTCTCGGGCAGGGACATGACCTCTGTGCTGAAGCAGGATCGGGAGCGCCTCCGAGCCATGCAGAGGCAGCAGCCCCGGTTTTCTGAGGACCAGCGGCGGGAACTGGGCGCTGTGCACTCCTGGGTCCGCAAGGGCCAACTGCCTCGGGCTCTTGATGTGATGGTGAGAGAAGCCTGGGACAGGGGTAGAAAAAAGAATTGAGCTTGTCAAGTTCAAAGGATCGAGGCCAAGAGCTGATCTCAATATCCTTGGATCATTAATTCTGAAGACTGTTGATTCCACTGAATTTGCTGTGGATTATTATTAAGCTGCATGAGTCTTTGCAGAACTTTTCTCAGCCTATCCTATGCTAATGTGCATTGTGACGCTCCTGTAATGGCATCTGGGTAGAGGGCACAAGGCACCTTCCAACCTTGTTGGACTGCAGGTGCATATATGTGGACTGGTGCTTCTTGGGAGTACATTTCCGGAAGCACAGTGGGCTGGGGGTGGGAAGCTGGGCTGACAGGTTAGCAGTGAGGACCCTCTCTGACTCCCTCATGTCCATTTCTCTTACCAAGGCCTGTGTGGACTGTGGGAGCAGCACCCAAGATCCTGGTCACCCTGATGACCCACTCTTCTCAGAGCTGGATGGACTGGGGCTGGAGCCCATGGAAGAGGGTGGAGGCGAGCAGGGCAGCAGCGGTGGCGGCAGTGGTGAGGGTGAGGGCTGCGAGGAGGCCAGGGCCCAAGGTGGGGCCAAGGCCTCAAGCTCTCAGGACTTGGCCATGGAGGAGGAGAAAGAAAGCAGGAGCTCAGCCAGTCCAGCCTTACCTACAGCAGGAAACGGCACGAGCTAGACTCCATTCTGGGACCATCTCCAGGAGTCCACAAGATGCTTTCTTCTCCTATGTCCCAATTCTCAGAACTCAGATGTGGCTGGACCAACCAGTGGGAAACTGCCCCAGCTTCTCCCACCATAGGGGGCCGGACCCCCATCACCAGCCCAGGATCCAGGGGCTGCCTCTGACCTCGTAGGGAGCAGAGAGCAGAACTCCGCAGCCCAGCCCAGCCCAGAGGAGTGTCACCTCCCACCTTTGGAGAGGAATCCTTCCCTCCCCTGGACAGAGTTGCTGACAGGCTGCTTAAGTGGCCTCTCCATATCCTAGCTGAGCCTGAATCCGACTCCTGAGGGTTGGGGCTGCACTTATTTATCGGGGGAGACAGCTGTCTCTCCCACCTCCTCCCCACATGGGAGGAGAGCCTGAGGCCCAAGCAGGACCTGGGGGATCCAGCCCCTAGCTGCTCGGGGGTGGGGGAGGTTGGTGGACCATGGAGTCCCTGGTGCTGCCCCTCAGGTGGGACCCAGGTGTTCTCAGCTGTACCCTCTGCCGATGGCATTTGTGTTTTTGATATTTGTGTCTGTTACTACTTTTTTAATACAAAAAGATAAAAACGGCCAGGACTTTGTGGAATGAAGTTTGGGGTTGGGGTGAGGGGAGCGCGTCTAGGAGGGACTCGGTCCTGCTTCCAGGAAGGTTGTAGTGAGGGTGCACAGGGCCATCCCCTGAAGACCCCCATTCCTCTTTCCCCCCATCCTGTCCAGGTGAGGGCCCTGCTCAGCCTACTACATCCACGCCCAGCTCTGACTCTGCTGTCCCCTCTAGCATGGCCTCAGCTGGGTTTACCCTGGGAAGGAGAGATGAGAGGCACGTGTGGCCAAGGGCTTGGGTGAGCTCCAGCCCAGGTCACAAGTGGCCGAGGCAGAGGAAGCCCGCTTAACCCTGTCGTGCCTTGAGGTATTCGAGGGTGTTTGTCTTCCTTGGCTTCCTTTTTTAAATAAAAAAAGACGGAATTTCACTCTGTTACCCAGCTGGAGTGCAATGACGCCATCTCGGCTCACTGCAACCTGCGCCTCCTGGGTTCAAGCGATTCTCCTGCCTCAGCCTCCCGAGTAGCTGGGATTATAGTGTCCACCACCATCCCCGGCTAATTTTGTATTTTTAGTACAAATTAGAGATGGGGTTTCACCATTGTTCAGTCTGGTCGCAAACTCCTGACCTCAGGTGATCTGCCTGCCTCGACCTCGCAAAGTGCTGGGGTTACAGGCGTGAGCCACCGTGCCTGGCCTTCCTTGGCTTCTTGGTCACCACACAGGTCAGTCTAGGTAGCTAAGGACACATGGAGTCATGTGCTCACTCATGGTTGAATTGGCCCCAAAGGTTTGGAAGAATGCAGGAGCAAAGCATTAACTCTCTGGCTCAGAACCTGAAAAGGAAGAGGTAGCTTAGGAAGGGATGAGTCGATGAAGAACCACTGCAGAACTTATTTACTGATTATCACTTACTGTCACCCGCTCACAGTTGATTTATTTTGAGGCAGATTTGCTTTACCCCGGCGCTGTGGCTTAGCTGGTTAAAGCGCCTGTCTAGTAAACAGGAGATCCTGGGTTCGAATCCCAGCGGTGCCTGAGTTGGTGGGGAGTGATATATTATTGCTGCAAGTGCACTTCTCCACTTTCAAAGTGCGTTTCTGTGTGGTTTTAAGAAAGATTCTTCTTACAAGCCAATCCGTCTTTGGGCCTCCGTTCCCCTGCACTTTTAGTGTTTATTGGAAGCTACAGATTCTCACTTCGCTTTCATGAAGTAGCATGAAGTAGGCATCTCAGGGTCTGTCCTCAAGGGTATGGAAGACAGGGCTCGGATTTGGGAACGTTTTGTTTCCATCCTATGCTCGGGTAGGAGAGGGAGAATGGGAAAGCTGCCACTCCAGCGGGGCAGCTGACGGCTGCTGGAGAGAAGGCATGGTCTGCGCCACCGAGCCGAGGCGCACGAGCGCTGGCATCTCGAGGCAGCGTGGGTGGAGCCGGCTGGAGGCGGGCGTGTTGATAGGCAGCTATAGTTGCGCAGGGCCGAACCCGCACGCGGCTGTGATGGCCGAGTGGTTAAGGCGTTGGACTCGAAATCCAATGGGGTCTCCCCGCGCAGGTTCGAATCCTGCTCACAGCGTCAGTACTTTTGGTAATAGGTATCTCGGTCTCTGGAGAAGGAAAAAGCAGTTTGTTTTCTAGTTCTTTTTTTTTTTTTTTTTTTGAGACGGAGTCTCGCTGTGTCACCCAGGCTGGAGTGCAGTGGCGCGATCTCGGCTCACTGCAAGCTCCGCCTCCCGGGTTTACGCCATTCTCCTGCCTCAGCCTCCGAGTAGCTGGGACTACAGGCGCCCGCCACCACGCCCGGTTAGTTTTTTGTATTTTTAGTAGAGACGGGGTTTCACCATGTTAGCCAGGATGGTCTCGATCTCCTGACTTCGTGATCCACCCGCCTCGGCCTCCCAAAGTACTGGGATTACAGGCTTGAGCCACCGCGCCCGGCCTGTTTTCTAGTTCTTTCCTTGGAGAATCTCCCGCGTTATTCTGAGAATCTCAGGGACTCGGCCGTCAGGGTCCAGCCCGCGAGCGCCCTCTTGCGAGTCTCATACTCCTGTCGACCTGCAAAAGCCTTTTTACTGCCGATTTCACGTCCTAACGCCACCACGCTCAGGTGGCTCCTTAGGGCTACTCAGCAATCGTTACTTCCCCCCAATTCATTCACTCTCCTACTCTCCTATGCGACTGCTTCATTCCTACCCTTACCTCAAACTGCGAATCCCTTCTTCATCGTTCCTTATCTTCTACTTCCTGATTCACTGAGAAAATAAAGCCTTCCGGAGTTTCCCATCAACATTCACATCGCACCTACCTACCTACCTACCTACCTACCTACCTACCTACCTACCTACCTACCTACCTAGTTGAGTCTGTGACCACATACTCTTCTTTTCTCTCATTATTGTAGATGAATGCTTCCATCTAAAGCCAACCCCTACTTTTACTAGATTTCCCATCCCCCCGGCCCACTCAAGCAAGGACACTGCTTTTTTTCCTATACCATCAAATTTTCCCTCTCAGCAGGGGGCAGTGGCTCACGCATGTAATCTCAGCACTTTGGGAGGCTTGACGAGTGGATCACTTGAGGTCAGGAGTCCGAGACCAGTGAAACCCCATCTCTACTAAAAATACAAAATTAGCAGGGCATGGTGGCTGGCGCACGCCTGTATTCCTAGCTACTCGGGAGACTGAGGCAGGAGAAGCACTTGAATCCGGGAGGCGAAGGTTGCAGTGAGCCGAGATCGCGCCATTGCCCTCCAACCTGGGTAACAATAGCAAAACTCCATCTCAAAAAAAAAAAAAAAAAAAAAAAAAAAAATCCCTCTCTACTTGATTTTTCTCATCAGCCTACAAACACGAATTTCTCCCAGTTTAGAAGCAAGCCAACAAAAGCTATCTTGACCCCACACGCCCGTCCAGCTACCACTCAATTTCTCTACTCCCTTCTACAGCAAACAGAGCAAGTTATCCAATTCCATCTTCCCACTCTCCTTTGGACGCTTTCTAATCATGTGTCCCCCGCCCCCATCAAAGTTGCCGTTGTTAAGGTTGCCGAATGACCATCACATTGCTAAATCTAGTGACCATTACTTAGCTGCAGTTGATACCGATGCTTACTCTTCCATTAGAAACACTCTTCGCTTGCCTTCTAGGACGCTACGCCCTTCTGATATTCCTTCTACTTCATCAGCAGCTTATTCTCAGACTGCTTTGCTGGTTCCTCACCTTCTGGATCTCCGAATGTTGGACTGTTCCCAAGGCTCAATTTTCCAGCCTCTTCTCTATCTGTACCCACTACCTTGGTCATTTCCAGTTTCGTGGCTTTACATATCAGATTCATACATCCCAGATTTTCATCTCCAGCTCCAGAACTCTTCCCTGAATTACAGATGCTTATATATTATTGCCCACATACCATCTACACTTGGAAACCTAATACAGATCACAAACTTAAAATGGGCAAACCAAGGCCTGGCGCGGTGTCTTGTGCCTGTAATCCCAGCACTTTGGGAGGCCAAGGCCTAGGTCGGAAGTTCCAGACTAGCATGACCAACAGGGAGAAACCCGTCTCTACTAAAAATAGAAACGTAGCCGGTCGTGGTGGCAAACACCTGTAATCCCAGCTACTGGGGAGGCTGAGGCAGGAGAATCACTTGAACCTGGCAGAGGTTGTGCTGAGCCGAGATCGGGCCATTGCGCTCCAGCCTGGGCAAAAAGGGTGAAACTCCGTCTCAAAAAAAACCCAAAACAAACCAAAACAAAAAAAACACCCAAAAAACAAACAAAAAAAACCCCCAAAAAACAAAAGTGCAAATCAAACTCCTAGGCTTCTTCTCCAAACCTTCTTCACCTGTGGCCCTTTCATCTCAGTAAATGGAAATTCCATTCCTTCAGTTGTTTAGACTAAAAACCTTAGTATTATCCCTGATTGTTCTCTTTCTTTCCCACTCTACATCGAATGAGCAATTTCTATTTAAAATATGTTAGGGCCAGGTGTGATGGTCTCTGGTCGCGCCCAACTGGCCTCTACTCTTAATATACTGGGTAGATTGATCCTTTTAAAACATAAATCAAGGACCCGGCGCAGTGGCTCACACCTGTAATCCCAGCACCTGGGAGGCCAAGACGGGTGGATGACGAGGTCAGGAGTTCAAGACCAGCCTGGTCAACAGGGTGAAACCCTGTCTCTACTAAAAATACAAAAATTAGCCGGGCATGGTGGCAGGCGCCTATAGTCCCAGCTACTCGGGAGGCTGAGGTAGAAGAATCGTTTGAACCTGGGAGGCGGAGGTTGCAGAGAGCTGAGATCGGGCCACTGCACTCCAGCCTGAGCAACAGAGTGAGACTCCCTCTCAAAAACAAACAAACAAACAAACAAAAAAATAAATCAGATTCTGTCATTTCTCTTTGAAGTCTTCTAATGGAGGTATCAATATGAATTCATGGTTTTTATGTGTACAGATATAGAAATAAATATATACACATACACAACATATACACACACATATTTCCTAGCTCTGTCCACTGAGTGAGCCTAGAAACAATGATATCCCACACTAAAAGCCCCAGATCTTGGTTACTAAATGCCATTCTTTGCTAAAATGAACCAGGACTCCTTAGAGAAGAGGTTGATTCCGGCTGGGCGCGGTGGCTCACGCCTGTAATCCCAGCACTCTGGGAGGCTGCAGCGGGCGGATCACGAGGTCAGGAGGTCGAGACCATCCTGGCTAACACGGTGAAACCCCGTCTCTATTAAAAATACCACAAAGGAAAAAAAAAATTAGTCAGGCGTGGTGGCGGGCGCCTGTAGTCCCAGGTACTTGGGAGGCTGAGGCAGGAGAATGGTGTGAACCCTAGAGGCGGAGCTCACAGTGAGACAAGATCCTGCTGTAGCAGGACGAGCCGCAGACAAAACAACTCAGACACCGGATTAAAGAAGGAAGAGGTTTTTTATTCGGCCGGGAGCATCGGCAGACTCGCGTTTTAAGAGCCGAGCTCCCCGAGAAAGAAATACTTGGCCTTTTTAAAGGCTTACA